ACACACACACACACACACATGTATATTAATATATGAAGAAATATATCAAATAAATGTAAGATCTTCATGATTTTAGGCAATCTTGTTTGTTCCACATTTCTTAAAACAAATTACGCACAAAAAATACTAATATAATTATAATTACTTTTAAAATCTTATATATACATACGTATAATCCATTTGTGTTTATCATAAGATAATTAAGGTAAATGTACCAATGCCGGGGCACTTAAAAGATCTATATGTCTGGACACCCTTATCATTTTAGTTTGTAAATAAAATAAGTATAACGCGAATTAAAATCAAAGATAAAAATATAATACAAAAAAAATATTTTTATCTTTAATTCTTTGATTTTAATTTCTCATTATAACTTCTAATTAAGGACTAAAATGATAAAAATGTCTAGACATAAGTATGTATGTACATATATTCGTGTTCAGGCATTGGTACATTTACCTTACATTCACTGACGGAACCATCTTTATCGTATGTAAGGAATTGAAGAATTACCTTTATCTACATCTGGTAAATCATACATATATATAAATATATGTAAATTTCACATAGACACCATATCTATGGACAGGAAGAAGCCTTATTTATACCTTAGGAGTGTGAAATATTGAATTTCATATATTCAGAAAGTGAAAAATTAATATATTCACACAATATTCACACATCTAAGGTATAAATTTTAATTTTATACATTTTTTATTAAGTATAAATAATATTAATTTTTCGCACTCTGAAAGTATAAATTTTAATTTTTCACACTCGTATGCAAATATTAATTTTTCGCACTTCTAGGGTATGAATATATTAATTTTTCACTCTCTGAATATATAAAATTCAATATTTCACACTCCTAAGGTATAAAGGCTTCTCTCTGTCCATAGAATGGTGTCTATGTGAAATTTACATATTATATGTATATATTTATATATATACGTATGATTTACCAGATGTAGATAAAGGTAATTTTTCAATTTACATACGATAAAGGTTGTTCCGTCAGTGAATGTAAGGTAAATGTACCACGGCCTGAACACGAATATATGTACCTATGTCTGGACATTTTTATCATTTTAGTTCTTAAGGGAATCCTGCAGCCGTATGATTTACCGGCCGTATCGTTTTTCGATGGATCTTTTATATAATTGGCTTTATAGAATTGCAAAAATCTTTTACAGAATTAAAGTACGCACAAAAATCTAGGGTAGCAAACGCGATTTTATATCAAAAAAATCAAAAAATTAAAAATATTACTTATTTGGGCACATACACAGCTGTCACCTGACGATAATATTTGCTTAAAACAAAAATTCTGCAGTTTATACATACATAATGTTTATCATCTGATGCTCTTGGGAAAACATGTAGGAATAATATCGTGCAAGTAGAAGTAAAATTCACGGCGTACAAAAAAAGATCCATCAAAAAATTATTTTAGTAATGCAAATATACGGATGCAGAATGACAAAAAGAGCAGCAACAGTAGTTGCCGGATCTTGCGAGAGATGGCGAGCAATCAAACAAGAACAGATGTCATTTAATTCGTTAGACAAAGACAGATATAGGGAAAACAAAATTAGAAAGGTTGACATTATCAACATCGAGGAAGTTCGTCTATCACTGCAGGATCCCCTTAATTATAAGTTATAACGCAAATTAAAATCAAAGAATTAAGGATAAAAATATTTTTTTTGTATTATATTTTTATCTTTGATTTTAATTTGCGTTATACCTATTTTATTTACAAACTAAAATGATAAGGCCAGACATAGGCCAGATCTTTTAAGGGGATCCTATAGCGAAGGCCGAACTTCCTCGACGTCGGTAATGTCAACATTTCTAATCCTGTTTTCTATGTTATATATCTATATCTGTCCTTGTCTAACGAAAGGCATCTGTCTCTGTTCGATTGCTGCGCCATCTTTCGCTACACGCAATACTGCTTATCCTACCAACCTGAATGTGCTTTTGCTTAATAAAACTTCATTTTACAAAATCTTTTTTTCTAGACGTTGAATCTTAGTTTTACTTACACGATATTGTTCCTACATGTTGTCCCTACGTCGCCTTGGTGTCATTTTATATATATAAACTGCAGTAATTTTGTTATTGTCGTCAGATGACAGTTGTATGTGCCCAAATTAGTAAAATTTTTAATTTTTTTTCGTTCCCGATATGAAATCGTATAACGCGATGTAGATTTTTGTGCGTACTTTAATTCTAGACCAAAAACTTGCAATTCTGTAAAGCCAATTCAAAGATTCCTTAAAATGAAAAAATGTCGGTAACTACCGCCACTATAGGATCCCCTTAAGTGCCCCGGCATTGGTATATTTACCTTAATTATTTTATGATAAACACAAATGGATTATACGTATGTAAATATAAGTAGATTTTAAAAGTAATTAATTATATTAGTACTTTTTGGGCGTTATTTGTTTTAAGAAATGTGGAACAAACAAGATTGCCCAAAATCATGAAGATCTTACATTTATTTGATATATTTCTTCATATATTAATATACATGTGTGTGTGTGATATCAACATATGTTATATCGATATATTAATTGGACATTGATTCCTGCAAAGTAGCTATGTTTCGAGGAACAATTAAGAACATCAATACTAAATATTTACAAAAGTACAAAAGTTTACAAAACGTCGACTACTATACGCAGCAAACTCTTCTAATCATATTTTTTAATAACTTTTTACTTCTACAATCGGAAATAGCTTTAACGACGCAAAGCTAGTGTAACATAGTTTTCTAACTATCTAAACTGTATTCGACTCGTATTGTTTCGTTACAATTAGGAAATCAGACTTTTAGTATTTCGAAGGCAGTTAACTGGCGGTTATACTGCTTGTCTAGGCCTTTTAAGTGTTTATTATTTTTTGCTGATATTATTTTATTGGTTGAAGAATCCGTCTTTTTGATCAATATCATTCATATTTATATTTGAATATTCTACGAGTTAGATTTGCGTACTATATGAGGTCTTTATGAAATTCTTATCACATTTGCACCAGATAAAATTATTTCATCATACGTAATCAGAGATGTACGCACAATCGCCATTAATTTTTATAAATAATAAATATATCTTTAAATATATATTGTATAGACGAAAATGATTTATGCTACATTATTTTGATTTTGACACCACAGATTTTGATACAATATAATTTTGTAAGTGATCGTCTTCAGTTGATGTCGAATTAATGGAACGTGCTGTTGTCAAGTCAATTATGCTTAATTGCGGTCAATTTTAATTGATGTACGTGATAAGCAGTTCTATACAAAATTCTTTTATATGGAGCTTATATTTAATTTATTACATGCAAATATATTTATTATTACCTTTTTTATTATTTAAAAACGTTCCGTGTGCATGAGTGATTGTTGAAGTTATATGTTTAAGAGTATGTTCACTTGAATAAAAAGAATACATATTTAACTTCGCATTCATCTACAAATGTTCTATTCGTAAGTTAAAATTTACATCCCTATATTAATTTGTAACTTTTAATTAAGAAATATTGGAGAAATTTGATATGCTTTTTGCAAAGAATAGATAATTATTTCTTTGAGATAAGAAGATTGCGAGATAGATTGCGCATACTCAATATGCATTATTCGATTACATAGCTATTTCTATTTACCTAATTTTATTTTTAAAAATTTATTATTTTATGCTATTTTGTTATAAGAAAATTGTAACAATTATCTGAAAACTGTTTTATGTCATACTGCGTTTAATTGCAGTTTTGCGGGTATTCTTGACCGTTCTTTTATCGAAATATATTATAAATTTTGCAGAAAATATAGTGCGCTTTTCTACATCTTTCTATGCTTTTAAAAAAAGTTAAATCTTTTCTGTCTAAAAACATATTAAGTTATTTGTATTAACGTGCAATATTGCAAATTTAGTACTTGATTAATTTCAATAAAATCTGACATTTAGAGAATTATATTCAATTCGCCGTAAAAATTTACTGCAAAAATGTTGACATTAACTTTACATTCGATTAACTTGTTTTCATCAAAGTGGCTAGCCTTTCGTACAAAATTTCATTGAAGGTGTATGGAAATCTAAAATTTCTTCTGGTTTGCTGAAAAATTTTTATAATTATATTCTATATATATATTAACAAAATTTTTTATATAACCATATTTTATATGTATATATATAAAATATGGTTATATAAAAAATTTTGCAAAGAATGTTAATATTAATAATATATTAATAGTATAAATTTCTGCAAGAAAATCTAACAAAATTCAACAGAGGAAATTTTCTCATAAAAAATTTTTACGAAAAGCATTATATTTGAGCATTAAAAGATTTATATTTAACATAAGTATAAATGTTTTTGAGTTGAATTCAAACAAACATTTTACGTTTCATAGATAGATGCAGATATATAGAAATGCACTGTTAAATTAATATGACTTTCGTGTGTGTAATGTCAAATCGTCTGCGAAACGCCTATAAATATTTTTGTGGAATGTTACTTATATAATTAACTTTTATAAAATGTATTTGTAATTAAATTATTTATAATGTGCTTTTAAACGCGATAAATTTTTAATAAACAAATGTTTATTTTGTATGTGAAAAATTTATGTGCTGGAAAATGATTGATCTGTCGACAGATCCAAATTTAAGGTACTAATGACGTTCTCGAGAATCTTCCTTCTGAGTGCTATGTCTGCGTGATTCCGGACCGCTAGGTGTAACAGGTCGTCGTTTTGACCTTTTGAATTTAGCGATATCCTCGCCGAACACATCACCAGTTCGAAGAGCAGATATCAAGTCGTCGAATTCGCCTTTGTTATCATTCTGTTGTCCGTTACTGTTTGCTTCATTCTTCTTACTTAGCGATATACTGTTTAATATACCCTCCCGCGAGTTTTTTCTCTCTATTGTTCTCTTCCGGAGCTGTAATAAATTATAGTACATTACATTATTTATATCTTATCATATATTACGTGTTTATATGACATATGATAATAAGTCGCTTACTTCCTGTTCTTGTTTCGCTCTACGTTCTTCTTCTTCGATTTTCTTCCTCATGTTTTCTACATCTTGTCTCGCTTCAGCTAGGGCTTGTAAAAAGTTTTCAAAAATGCCAAAGAATTCATCTGGTTGAACGCCAGCCGAATCTTCACCGAACAGTCTCACTGCTCGATCAAACTGTTTTGACAAAATCATAATTATACATATTTGTCACAGTTACACTTATAACATAAATAACTTATTTTTACCCTAGTTTTCATGTCTTGGAATAAGTCTTCCGCCTCTGCTAATCTACATGTGGCTTGCGCCTGGAAGTCCCTCATCGCCGGTAAAAACATGTCACCCTGAAGTACCTGAGATTGACCTCGATGAAATTCTAAAAAAATGAATAGAACGGGAATAGCACAGACGATGCAATAGTAATTTACCTATTCTTCATTCTTAAATACTTTTATGATCATTATCATTCCCATAGAAAAAGTAGATAAAAAAAGGAATCAACAAAGTAGTTAATCACTTAAAAAAAATCAGAAACTTTTAAGTTTTCTTTTTTTTCAGCTCTATTTAATTCCACTTTTTATGCAAGTTTGCTTAAAGCTCCACTATTGTATAATCGGTTATTACCTATTTCTCTTTGAACATCCTGCAATCCATTTTTTAAGTTGGCCACTTCCTTCTGCAAATCGGCCATACTAACTTTAGCAGCTGTTTTAACATGCGGCATATCCTCTTCGATTTCTAAGACTTCTCTGAATCTGGCTTCTAGAATCTGCACAAGATAATGTAGTAAAGTCGTACCCTTGGAGCAAGAAGACTTGGTATCGACTAGACGATTCAAAGAAGCTAATCGAAAGCCGCACGCGTTACCCCGCGCGTTCCCACGATTCACGTAATTTCCCAATGCTAAAACTAATTCCAAAAGTTTTCTGAGTCTTCTTGATCTGGCCACTTGTCGGCTCGCTTCTAAAACTGCTCGCATCCTTGGCGTCAGTTCCGCAATACTAGCTGCGAATTTTTTTTTGTAATGAAGAGAACGCAATCTTTGTTCATAATGCGGCACCCTAAAGAACACAGAAGACGTGATATGTCATTTGTTCAATGTTTCGTTGGTCTGTTTTGTAATTCTCTATAAAGAAAGATTGGAATTTCTCTAAATCGCTTGAAAGCTAATTAATCGCTACGTAAAGCCATTATCATAATCTCAGAAGGGAAGTCTAAAAAAAGCTGATAATGTCTAAAATATAACGCACTTTGATATTTGATACAAGAAACAGTCAGCCCTGTTTTGCAATTCCTTTTGGTGGATATCTAACGAGGCAGCCTCTTCTGAAGATGGTATGTACTTTAGCAACTGTTCCACCATATCGATGTGCAAAATATTCTGTTGATCCATCGACAATATCGTTCTGGTAATCTCATTATCGGACATCTTCAATTTCGACAATAGTATAGTGCAATTCTGCGCTCTTCTTGAATCGATTACCGACATCGTCTTCTTATTCTTTCCTAATGTTCTCAAGTCTTCTATCGAGCCTTCCGTGGAAACGCCATTCTTTTGATAAGCGCAAAAGATCTTATCGATAGACTCGAGATCCATTACGTTGTAGAGCTTCGTATCGTCCAGCTCTGACCATATTGTACCCTGCAATTTCTGCTCAGGTATCTTGGACCAGTTGAACGATTTTAAAGGATTACTCGGTTGTGGAACATTCTTTATTATCTCCACCTACGATATTTAATTAACGATTTATGCAAATTAAGTTATTTCCTATTGTAGAAAGTAACTATAATTAGTAAATTATTCTAGCTGATTGCGTGCAACTTTAGGAAATGTTACTAATGTTTCTTCAACTATAATATATATTACTAAATATTAATTAAATTATCATCACGCTGTTATATTAATATTATTATTACATATAATAGTTTTATATCGTACTTAAAATTTTTAATATATAGTAATAACCTTCATGGGTGGAGGAGCAGTCGGCATTAAACAGGGAGGTGGCGGGGGTGCTAATGGAGGAGGTGGTGGTGGCGGCGGGGTGGATTTAGTCTCAAGCTTCTCCAGTACGTCATCTTCCACAATTTTTAAAGTGGCTTTCGCGTCGTCTGGCAAACTTCCTGAAGCCACTAGTTGCTCTAGACGTTTCCTTTCAGATTTTTCGTTGTTAATTTGTCGCGATAACGTCTCGAGGTTATCTTGCAATTCTGAAATTTTTTGTTTTGTCTCTATGTGCATCGATATCTCTTTTTCAAGACGTTCTTTGATCCTTGCTAAACTTGCTTCCATATCTTCCTACAAATAAATAATTACAAATTATGACTATTTGCAGCAGAAAAAGACAACATTAAGCAGTAAATGACGATTCGCATCGTATCTAAGTTATAAGAGTAATACAATTTACTCCACATTAAATAAATTTATAGAAAAAGAGGAGAAATATTACTCTCAGGATTTTCATATCGCTGATTAGCCTTATATTTGAAATGCGTTTAATATATATTTTGAAAAAGCACCTTCATACCTGAATAAATGTGTTTTTTTCATTTTGATATTATCAAGGGACACATTTATCGATCTTAATAATAAATTTCAAACGTTTTTCGAATGTGCGTGTAGCTTCGGAAAACAAATTAAACTAAGAAAATAAAATTTTTCTGCATAAAAACATATAGAATACGTGTATGTAAGTGAATATCTTTTATAATTCATAAATCAAATTTTGCTATATTATAAGAGATTATTATGGGAAGTTTGTTGTGATTGATAAATAGGATATTAAATTTTTTTATAATACCTTTTCTTGAGACCTCAAATCTAGTTCTTGCTCCTTCTTAGCCAATCTCGTAGACATGTCCAAATTTTCGCGTTCCATCTCTTCGGCTTTCTTTCTTGCTGCCACAAGTTCCTCTTCTTTTGCGAGAAGGTGAACAATCTCTTTTACATTTATTTCAATTGGGGCCACATCGGGGTTTCTTACTAATCCCGTTTCGTTGCTTTCGGATTGTAAAACGATCTGCTGAACGATTCGATCGAACAACAGCCAATGTTGAGGATGCGAACCATAATCCACTAAAAAAAGGAAAAAAAAATAATTTGCATTATGGCATGTCTCTGACGAAAATAAGATCTTTCAATCTAAAAACTCACGTGGTAACAAAAGACAATGTTCAAGTAAGCTAAGAAGATGAGGATAAGCAGCAGTGTGGCTGAGTTTCCGTCGCAAAAGCTCGAACATGGCGCTAGCACTCTTAGTGTCCACATGTTCCTTTTCGAACTTTCTGGCGAGTTCCTTCTCGTCTTCATTTCGTACCATCTCAAAAAAATCGAGATGCCTATCGAGCGTCTCATTCTCGTATTTTCTCAGTTTCTCGATAATAGGTTGGATGCCAAGCATTAGTAGCTCATATCTTAGGTGTAGCCTAAACTCCAGCGTCACCTGGCCAGGCCCGTAGTTTAGCACGGCGTTGATAAACGACATGATCGCCGTTTTCAGAGATAAATTGTCTTTATAGATGCCGAAGTTTTTGTCAAGATCATTGATTATACACTGGAAGCGCGTTCTCTCGGAATGATACTGCTGGAAGTGCAACATGGCCTCTAGAACTTTGCGGTGACCGCCTGGCACCAGACAAACTGCACCGAGAATCTCTAGTACAGAGATTTTTGTCTTTATATTCTCAGATGCGAGCGACTGTGATATCGTGTTAATTGCCGTTGGATGTGCCAGCACGTGCGCTCTACCATTCTAGAGAGAAAGAGATATTAATTGAAATAATGAGGAAAAAGCACTGATACGTGTAAGATCTCTTAGCGAAATTAGGGGTATACATCGTTGAACAGTGATTTACACATTCTTATTTTCTCCCGAAAATATGGATAAATTAGGTAATAAGCTGCTTAGTTGACAAAATTATGTTAATAAATATTTTTTAACATTTTTAAACGCTTGACGGAACTCACCGAATTATTCATTAAAGCCTTTAGACATCCTATAACGCTAGTGTGGAGATTACTGTTAGCTGCCTCTGTATCCATAGTTCCTAGTACTTGTAATAAAGCGTTTAAACCATCTAGTTCTATAAATCTGAGAACGAAGCTGTGCGGCTGCGTTCTCAGGGCAGTCTTTAGAGCTTCCGCTTGACGCATTTGATTCGATATTTCCTCATCTTCTTCTGGGAAAGGATTCTGCATACAACATCCAATATGCACATACTCACATATATCAGAGATAAAATCGAAAATAATACGACAATATTTCGCAGTTCAACAAATTCTGCCTTCCAGCAAAATTCCGAGCAATCCCAAACAATCTTATTATCGTAAATCTATACGCACGATATAAAAATACAACATTCTAAAAATTATAACGTCAATATAAAGCAGTCCTATAAAGCAGTTATTTTACAAGTTTCCAATTTTCTTACGAGCCTGTCTTTATCTATCATAATTTTGGTTTGTCTCATCTTTTTTTATATAGCCTTTCTAATTTCAATAAGTAAACTTTGTTAATAATATTTTTCCATAATAATGTTTAATGCAAACGTCAAAATTATTTTCTATTTAAAGAAAAGAAAAAGAACGTTCGATCATTAACGGTCAATAATTCCGTCATTAGCTATAATAGATAATAATAGATTTTATTATGCAATTTTATTCACTCACATTCGCTATCGTCTTCAATCTATTGATATAGTCCTCGGGATCCCCGCTAAGGTCAGTGGTGCGCAAGCCTCCGTTGTCCAATGTACCGTTACCTTTTCTGGAACAATATATCTGCCACTTTTTATTAGCTGGAAGTGCCAAAACTGCTTGTCGATTGGTTTGGGTCAGATCGAGCTCGTCGACAAGTTCGAGAAACATTTTATTCAACTCCTCTTCAGCTGGCATTGGCAAGGTCGGTGTCATTGCTTGTAACGTGAGCGTACCCGTATGCTCCACAACGCAATACGTGATTTCCGGTGGCTCGTCATCCTGTGAGGAGCAACTCGATTAGTTCAGTATCCTGTCATGCTATGTATTACAGATCTCATTCAAGTAATATTACATCAATAAATATGAAAAAGATACAAAATAGTAGTCTTCTTGCTTAAATTCTATGCGTTGAGTTATCAACAAGGATTTTCTCGCTTTCTATTTTGTGTGTGGAACACGTGTATTTATGAATAACTATATTGCTTGTGTGTGTTGTAAATGCAATAGTTCAAATAAATTGATGTTTGTATTATGTAATGAAAGAAAACATTTAAAAGAGTATTTAAAAATTTAATGCTGTGTGTGTTGATATATAAAAGTACGTAACGTAATATATTCGCATCGCAGTATATTAATTTTAACAAAAAGATAAAATTATCGCAAATACATTTTTGCAACTTTATTTATTAAATTGAAATATATGTTTAATAGTTATATATCATATGTAGAGTTTCGGGGAAACAGATAGCATCGTGATCAACAACCGCGGCTCACCATTGCCGCAGTTCTTTGCACTGGAATTCGTTTTTAATCAATAAACTTTTTTTAGAATCTTACCTGGAGGCAGCCACAAAACGACTTTTTCACTCGTGATGGCATAGTTTGACAGTGACCAACAAATTCCTTCAGAGGCTGTGAACTTTTCACAGGACAGTTTGGAATCCTCTGCAAATAATTATAAGAAATTTCATGTATCACTTTTTATAATGCATAGTACATATTATAACATCGATAAATTAACAGTGTTTTATCTTGAGATTTCATAAAAAAAATATTTAATGCCACCATGGTGGAAGCAGTTAAAAGAGAGACAAAATTAGAACTATTAGAAGTGTATCGTAGAAATTGCGCACCCCCCTCTTTCTTTATAAAATTTAACATAATATGTTATATACACTCCATAATATTATACATTGAAGCATCAAAAAATGGGAGTAAACAGTTTTACGAGCATAATAATAACAATAATAACATTGTATTGCATGTCAATTTTGTAATACTCGTTTATTTTCCATTACAAAGAAGTGGAACTTTTACGTCTAGCCGTTACACTCTAATATAAGCATTTAGACACTTATAATGTATAAGTATAATGTATACAGGGTGTTTTAGAATTGCACGGCACTATTTTAGGGAAATATTTTCTAGGTCAAAATGAACAAAAAAGTTTATATGTATAAACACATGACCCAAACTTATTTATTAGTAAGATATATATTAAACAGTAAAGATTACATTTAACAGTGAAACATTTAAAGTATGTTTTCGAAGTGGCCGCCGTTTTGTTGAATTCTTTTTGCGTGCCAATAGGTCTACAATAAACTAAAGATTTCATCCAACCCCATAGAAAATAGTCTAATGGCGTTAGGATTATTCTTGATATTTGCTGCAGCTTTCATTATGCGATTTCTTAATTCTTCTTGCGTGCTATAAGACGTGCTAGAGAAACATGCAGGATACTTCGTGCTGAATGCTGCATTCAACAAAACGGCGGCCACTTCGAAAACATACGTTAAATGTTTTAATATTAAACATAATCTTTACTCTTTAATATCTTATCAACAAATAAGTTTGGGACATATGTTTATATAAACTTTTTTGTTTATTTTGACCTAGAAAATATTTTCCTAAAATATTGCCGTGCAATTCTGAAACACCCTGTATATACACATATAAAAGGAAAGTAAATTATAAAGAGAAAAACTTAATTAATAGAATTTTGTACTTGAATACAAAAATGTGTCTCGCATTATCATTACGCAAAATATTGCTTTTTTTTAGAAAACCTAATATTTTATTATATCAAATAATTTTAGAGAAATATAATAAAATATTATAATTTTGGATTTTAATAATAAAGTTTTGTACAAAGAGAGACAAATATCTATATCTATATCAAAATACATACGTAGAATAGAGTTTAATCTTTATCATATGCAGCCATCATTGCAAATACATATAAAAATACGTGAATAAGAAATATGTGTAAATATATGAGAATAAGAAATTATGTTATATCTTGGTAACAAAAAATTACATGTAATTTTTACTTGAAATTCTATTCTCAACTTCTTTTCTCAAACACAGTGCAATGAGCAAATTGGCAGCGATGCAATATTATACAATAGTAATCAATTCTAAGTCAACGTAGCGAAAGTGATTGACTAACAATAAAAATTCTTTTGTGATTTGATTAAGTATAACCTACGTGAAAAAAACGCCACGTTTCAGTTCTAGGCTCCGAACAAGACACGATATCTCGATCTTCACCATTGGAGGACATGTCAATATCAGTTGGATCACTTTTTTGTATGCTATAATCGAGTGAAAGACGGCTCGGAGCACCGGTACGATTTTGATTGTAATCGTTCTCACGATTAATTGCGATTTTCACTTTTTGCACACTTTAGAGATGAAACCGCTTCGCTCGCATGCAGGTAAACACTCGACAATTCGAGTCACCAACTACAATTCCATAGGCTAGAAATTCTCTTATCTCGCACATTGAAATTCTTATCACACCAGAAAAAAACAGAACAACGTCAGTTATCGCGCGACTATGCATATTATTATATGATGTCCTCGGTGGAATCAGCTGATCTTTCATCGAGTAAAAGTAACTTTTTGGGAAAATGTGATACTTGAGAGTACCATTAATTTATTCATTTTATTCATTCATTTCTTGTCAGTCTATTTATTTTACTGTATTTGCATTTATTTAGAGAGGCGGTAAAAAAATCTGTAAAAGTTCTGTAAAAAATTAGTGTCCCAAAATCTAAAGTAATTCTTTCAATACAATGTATTTCATTTTGAATAAATATGTATATTTTAATCTTGGAACAATAACAAAAGTTATTATAATACTTTCAGTGCAAGTTTTTGACCGTGGTATTCGCCGGAAGCTATAATATTACACCATTCAACAAATCACAGGTTTACAAATCACAAAATATACTTTCCAAAGCTTCACGGTTTATAATCCGTTTCTTGAAATTACTTAAAAAAAAAAAAAGAGATACGTTGATCTATCACGTACCATGATTCACAATTGCCATCAGTTTAAGGCTGATGGCAGAATACAAAACGTAGGCTCTTACGTCTATCGTAGTTATAGACATGAAGCAAGGCAGAGAAAACCCTATACGTAACTACGTAAACGTAAAGTCATAAAAAAGCTATCGTGTCGATACGTGACGATACGAACGTAGTTACGTACTGTAGTTACGTATACAGTTTTCTCTGCTTTGCTTTACGTTTATAATTACAATAGACGTAAGAGCCTACATTTCGTTCTCTACCATTAGCCTAAGACAATTGTAAACGTGTGAAAATTGTGGCATGTCGAAAAATATAGCAATTTCATTGTTAATTAATTTAAACATTCATTATGTAATATTAAATCAGAAAGATAAGAAAAGCGTCAAAACAGATTTCTTATCAATTCGGTCACACTGGCTCAGTCAAATATTAATAAGTAGCTTATTGTAATCATATCTGTACGAAAGGCAGGCACAATATCAATGTATATCTAAATTTTTATCGGTTTAGATCTTTTCATAAACGTAGTGTCTTATAAATAATTCTTAATCCAATATCGATTTATTATGTAGATACACTGCAAATCTAAGTGTTTTATTTAATACACTTTTTTGTAGTCACTTTAGAAACGTATTCAATATAAAAACACATAAAGCGCTTTTTTTCAAACAATCGACAAAATATTGTTAATGTCAATAATTTAATATTTCCGCACCCTCTTTCTGATTTTAAAATTAGAAATACAAGGCTTATTCCATTAATTAATCATGAGCGGTGTTTTCTTGGATAAATTAAATCTTTATAAAAATTGTCTAACGTGTTATCAAATTTTCAAAATGAAGTAACGTATAAGTTAAATAAAACGCTTAAAGTGTATTTTCTATAAGTGTTTGTTACTTTAAAAGCTTTTTCAATTAATAAGTGTTTTATTTTAACTCGGTTTTAGTGTTTTATATTTTGTGTGTAACGCTTGAAAACGCTTTATGTGTTTTTATATTGAATACGTTTCTAAACGTTTAAAAAGTTACAAAAGTGTATTAAATAAAACGCTTAGATTTGCTGTGTATTTTCGCGAAAAAAACACAGTTTATGTGTATCACACAATTGCAGTACCTATAATTATTTCTGTTCTATTATTTCTATTACATTATATTTATCTATATGCGACATATGTCGAATTATTTCGAAACATTTAGCAACAATGAGCAACAAAAAGTTGCTCGTTGTTGCTTCAGTGGAGACGTAGCTTTTAAATTATTTTTCAACATTTCTTAATTAATTTATTCTATAATACACTATTTATATTACACTATAAATTTTGATATGTTTCAAAATAAACCAAGTGGATTATTAAATACTGGTCCTTTAAAAGTTGTATTATTTAATCATGGAAAAAAGGAATCATAAATGAAATACGATAATCATTAACAATTACGTTCTATTCATGTGATATTGTACTTTCGAAAATATCTAAAACAGCATAAATTATTCGATGTACTTTCCGTGAAATGAGTAAAAGCGCAGAAAGCGTGCAGATTTTTCGATCATAATAATGACATCGACATTGCTGCTGAATCCAGCGACATAGTATGATCGGCAATGATGTGCAATATTCATAGTACTTAATTGTGTTTACGCTAATTTAACCATGCGAAAATAGATGTCTGATAGATTGTTATGGTCGGTATAGATAAGCACAACTGTGTCAACGGTATAACTTATATATATATATACAATATATATATATATAGATATATGTTGTATTTATTTTGTAAATTATTTTATTTATTATAATTTGTTGACAATTATAATTAATATTTATATTAGATTTAAATAACGGTCAATTAAGATAATTTGAATATTTGTGAAAATGGAAAAAGTGTAGAAAATAAAAAGCAATAATGATATGCGTTCTGATTTAAAGACGGTGTACGCATATTATTATGAATTTTTACCCAAACATTTTTAATTATGACTCATAATGTAATTACTTTCTTCGGAATGGTTACAAAAAAAGCGTTACGGACATTTCATCATATGCTCATCATGTATGAATAATCACGTATTAGAAAGTTAATAAGATTTTAGCAATCTAATATACATTATATGCTTTCAGTCACATAGCATTATTTTCACGCATTATATAATACATTAATGAATTAATTAAAAATTATAGCCATCGAATTTTAAAATTGGACAAAAAATAAACTACAAATTTATTACTCTATATTATTAGCTTTTTCATTACTCTTTACTTATCATATGCAGTTGACTTTTTAAAACAAAATTATTGTTGAAGAAAATTAAAGTTACTGTATATATTTATCGCAATTTTCAAATTTTTTTCGAAATTGAATATATTAATTTTAGGCTTGAATTAAAACTCTGCTAAAACATAATTTTCTTAAAATAAGATAAATTGCACGGTTTTCGCGTTTTTTATTTAAATTGTTGGAATTTAGTTTGTCTATTTCTTATTCAAATATAATGTGAAAATTATTAAAAATGGTATTTTAATCGTATTTATTTAAAATAAATACAATAAAGATATGTAAGTAGGTATATATAAAAATTTGAATTCGTGCAAAGTTTGTCGGTATGTAGTAAAATATGTAGTTAAATCGTCCATAAGCTATTATTATTATTATTATAAATATTACAGTACTTTGTTTATTTTTTCAATTGCATGACAATTGCACGATTATTACTTTTGCCGTGAATGTAATTGGGAAATTGTAACCGCGATTTGCAACATACGATAGCGGCATTTATTATTCTGGCCACTAATATTCCATAACACCATATAATAGTTCTTATATAATAGTGTGTTCATTATTTAAGTTATACACATTACCAGATTTAGTTTTCCCATTTTCTCCAACATGGTGTCCATTTTGAATTTCGTCAATTTCTTCTTCAAAGTAAACGTTTATTTTCTTCTGAACCGAGAACCAAGTCTTCTGTCGGATATCCGTTCGAAAGTTGCTTGCTTCGTATGCGAAGATTACCAACAATTTGTCGACGATCTCATCATCGAATTATATTACGTCTGCAGATTTTAAATTTAACATTTAAAACATTCTAATTTAGACTTCATTTTGTTTTGAGATAGCAAAGATGAAATTCGATTGCTTTGCTATTAGACTTCGCTTGTAGATCGCGGAAGTTACACGCGGCATTGTTTCACGAAGCCTTCTTTCTCTTGGAATAGTCCTTGTAAGCGGATTAGTAAGGGATACTTATGGTTCTTGAGTTCTTCTTTAATACTCGCAGTCAATATATGTTGTGCTTTAAATTTTGCTTTAGAAAATAGCTAGTAACAAATTGAAGATGTTGAGTCAAGTTCTTGCAAGTTCTTTCATTGTGATTTCGTCTGCAATTTGATGTTTATATATTTAAAAAAAATTTGACATTTAAAATGTTTAACTAATCATTTAATTATATAATTTTTATGATTTAGAAAAAAGTCTTTGTTAAATTTTGCACTAAAATATTTTTTCTTATTACTTTCAGCAATATCTAAAACATTACGTGTTTAATAATATTTCAAAATGCATTCTCATAATTTAAGTTTATAGAGAAATTCAGTCTTTAAATTTGTAACAAAATCTACCATTGTCTTCTACTTTTCATTTTCGACTGATTAATCATTTTCTGTAATCTATTATTAAAATTTTAGCTTTTGTGTGTTACAAAAGATTTGTCTCTTTTTCATTCAATTCACTGTCTTCGTTCAATTCACTTCTGTCTTGTGCTTTTCAAAAAGATCTATTGGAGTATCTTTTGGAATCTCCTGAGGAGAGTCTCTCATTTACATATCTTCTCTTTATTCATTTCGGATAATTCAATTTGATTCTTGGAAAGAATTGAATGTTTAACATCACAATGTTGCAAACGCAAAGTCTTTCACTCGTCAAAGTATTTCACACTTATATAATTATTGGAATGTCCGACAATTTATTATAAAAAGAACAATGATGATCGATGAAAATTCGATGATTATGAATATTGTGACCCGACTTTTCTGTTCGTTCCGATCAAGACAGCGGATGATCTCGCTCGCGGAACGTTCTTGCTCGCGATTGTAGGTTGAACTGCCAGGTGAAAACACAACATCTCTCAACTTGCACAGGTGCACATAGGGGCCCCCCGACTGGGCCCTGGAGGAAAGAAGGGGGGCCTACTTGCGCGCTAGGATCTCTTTGCCACGAATACTTCGGTCGGTACTGACCTGATATAAAATCCGGGAATATTATTTGTAATTCATATCGCGTAAAAATCGAATTTGCACCCATCAGTATAATAAATATGAATTGTTATCTGGTGAGCTAATACGAGGGAAAGCTGAATCAAAAGTCACAAAAATTTGCTCGCAAAAATATTGTTTCATTCGAGCATTTTTACACAATATTTTCACAACAAATATATATTTTTATTTTGAAAAACAAAAACGTCTGTTCTTTCTTATACTTAATGCTTACTCTCTTTACCTCTTCTGTATTTCTTACGTTGACTTTATTTATTTATTATTATGTATTACTGCTTTCTTTGAAAATGTTTCTTCAAAAAAATGGAATAACCATTTCATAAAATCTTTTAAAGATTATCAAAAATGTGTACTATATAAAATTTTCAATAAAATTATTTTTATAATTTATAATAGCATTTGAATAGACAAATGGAAAATCTAATTATTAAAATAAAGATTACGAGTTGTGAGACAGAATCTATATGTGCAGTTTATCATCCGCGTGTAAGTTTGATAATTACCAGAATATCCAAGTAAGTCGATTATTGTCGATTAACGTTCTTATAATAATGAACAAGCAGAGTAAAAAAGTGTCGCAATCAGAGCAGGTATGTATGACGTATGTATATGCCATTATGCCGTTCACGTGGAGTAAACTCGTAAGAGTGTATTACAATTAGATCGTCGCGTCGCGTCCCGTCGGACTCCAAATCGTGTTTCTTATTTCTTGCTCGTCATGATCCGTCGTGTCGTCGCCGCGTCGTTGATCTGACGCACGATAGAAAACGTTCGTCCTTTCTCGCCCTGCGGTGGCAGTCTTGCCGAGCGGAATGCACTCTCGTCTCTTAGTCGCCGATGCGCGACGACTGGTTTTTCAGGAGGAAAAATAAAGCATACGACCGTCAGAATATTTTTTCCTTTCCTGTGCATGCACTTTTATGCTTTCCTCCTGCATAACTGAGAAAAGATGGAGGAGGAGGAGATTTTATTGCCATGCTCTGTCGTCTTTTACCAGACTGCCTATCTTGAGAATAATCCTCATTGTGGGAATCGCACCTTTAAGGTTGTTATAATAACCGCGGCTCCGCGTGATCGAACTGAATTATATCAGCTGATGAGTATATGTAAGTTAGCAGAACAAACTAACGTAAGTAACTTGTATGTATATATACAACAAATCGAGTTCCTTTATGAGAAATTCAGCGTCATTTTTATGCGCGCGGGGATATTTTAGAAAATAAAACTTTTACTTTTATTCGACATCAGATTAAGGATTTTGTAAATATTATACATCATATAATTGAGAACGTCCTTTAAGATGTTTAAAGCTTTAATTATATATATTATTTTTTAAATATAATTTCGTATAATAAAATAAAAAATCAATTTCTACAATTTTATAAGCCTGACACTGAACCCAAAGATATAAGAACTGTTTTGTAAGTTATAACATTTTTTAACATATTTTAAAATCATTGGTAAAAACAAGGAAGAAACTTTTCGCATTTCTGCGGAAACACGCGCAAAGCCATTTTTTAAAAGAATTTTTAGGATGGAATTTTACGAGTCTTTAAGTCTCATCCGCTAGATTCGGCTAGATAATAATCTATTGCAAGTTTATCTGTAAATGACGATCTTGTTGATAATTTGTGAATTTAACCTTTGCATCGATATTGCCATTAATATACAACGATAAACTGTTTGTAAACAGGCAAAAGCACAGAATACGCCGCGTATAATGCCGAAGAAGCTGTTTGTGAACGATTTGTGACGTTTCGATTAAAGTAAGTGTGATAAACACTTGTAATAGGTGCATTAAAATTCCCTTTCTTTTTTCGACTCTTCAAGTCATCTTTTCGCTATAATATACATAGGAGATCATCTACTAAAAAGTAACACCGAACATGCATTATTGGAAAATACCATGGATATATACGGATAAGTGCATTTTCCATAGCATATCCTAATCGGTGTCAACTATTGCACGTATCGACCTACTGAAGAGAAGACCCGTTATGTGATAATCTTCCTTTCCCTTCCGCCGCAATGGTATTCTCATGTTCTCCGTCTCGCTTTCGACGTTTAGTAGGTACGCCGACTACACGTTAAATGTAGTCTCTCGCATTGTGACGTTTAAATCGACGGAATATATTAGTATAGGCATAGACTATTTTGTGATGGATGTACCTAACAATTTCCGGATGTACCGTCAATTTCAATTAATCCACTTTTGATCATTGATTGATAAATTAAACATTGTATTAAACGTTTAATGAAATGCTGTTAGCAAAAATGCAAAAATGCAATAATGCAATAATGTATAATAATTATATATACTTATATAATTAAATTAATAAATAATATTAATAAATTAATCGCAAATCTTGTATGTATATCTTCATGAATCTTCTACCAAAGGCCCGCTCGTGTGTGAATTAGAGATTTTAGTATTTTTTTAGATTTTACTATGCAACTTTCTAGGATTTAACTCATTCCTATTCGTACAACGTTGAGGAAAATCGTTTAGATATTCACATGTGTCGTTTCTCTGATGTATTGTCGCTAATGTTTTATGTCCCGTTGTAATCATTGTGTTTACTATACTCCGCTATAGATAGTACAGATAGAATCCGACTATTCGATGACTCGTCTAATATACATATATTCAGTGTAGGTAGTGTAGGCACAGTACGTTTGCAGTTACACGTAAGTTCATTCAGGACTATCTTGTCATTCTCGTTTCGGTTACAACAGTTAACAATTATAATAAAATGTGCCGCCATCCTCCAAGGTATTTTTGTTATAACACTTTAGATTAATTATAATATAGATATACTTTTCGTGTATATCGCTCTTTTCGATTGTGGTCATATTTTTGATCATATTTAGTAAACGCTAGTGTTAAACAAATATACATATATGGGCAATTGTTGAAGTTTGTAACATATGTATGTATGTATAGTAACATATCGTTAAACGTATAATATATATAGTTCTTTTATTCTCTTGTAAAGACGGGAGCTATCCATTTAGTAGCCATTATGGAAAAAATGTTGGTTGCTAGCTATAAAACTGAATAATATGCTTATCGAACATTTAATAATTGACAGTATTCTATATCACACATCACTGAACACATCACTCTTGACAGCTATTGCTATTATTAATAAAAGCAATTTAAATAATTATTTAGATTACTAAAGGAATTACATGTAAAATGAGACTGCAGCTTTTACTTTTTTTCAATGCGAGTATTTCTTTAATTAATATGTACATATATTGACAATCTTTGTCGATGAATTCTATGATAGATTTGTGCATTAAGTGAAGCCTTTATATATTGACAAAAACTTTTTTCTTTTTAAGTGTAAAATGGCAATAAAATTTCCAAATTATAAATTATGATATTTAAAATACATAAATATCGTGTACGTGCCTTCATTTAGAGTCCTTTTTGGATAATTAATAATTTATTTATTATTAATATTTCGGTGAAAAAAAAGCTATCTGTCGAATGAGGCACGAGTTATATTCCCAGAAATCAGCACGCCTCGACCTGCTACACCTGCTGCTCAACACAAATCGTGGCATACTGACCCGAGGTGCGTTTTAGAATAAATTTAGTAGATGGTCTGCCAGCACACACGTTAACGTTAACGGTGCTGCGATATGAGAGACGCATTTTAAATCAGTAGTTGCGAAGAAGACTTGACGTATGATTGCGTGCGCGAGCATTTAAAAAAGTTTAATGAAGACCAATTGTGGTTTCTTGGCACGTAAATGAACATTTATCATGGATA